GGTTGGTCACGCCGCAGTCCCTTCTCCTCCATTCTCCTCTCGGGATCTTGGGCACGCACGCACACATGCCCGGCGTGAGTTTTAAGCCAGCCACCGGGTCCGGGATGCAAACCGCGGTCGACTACGTGGGAGTCCAGTGACATAGCCATTATGCTAACTGCTGGTTCCCCACCATGTCGTGTTTTTTAGAGTGTTTTGTTCTTACCCACCATTTCAGCTGTGCTTGTTTACAAATGTGTTCTTTTGACATCTTCCCAGAACCCTTTCCCTTCTCTTCATAAGCCAGAATGACTATTTTAAGACCAATGACCTTTGGAATATTTAAGCGACTGCTGAGATAGTTGTTTATGTGGCTGTTGCCAGTCTCTTTTGCAAGCTAGGGCTGATGACTCCTTTTGCATTTATGTATCATGTTCTTTCTGCAGCCTTTCTTCCAGGCCTCCTGCATAAAAATGAAAAGTCACCAGATTTAGTTATGGTAGTGAATTTAGCAGGGAAAGCAAAACAAAACCTTTTGTGTTCACAGTTCTTTAGAAAATAAGTTCTCTTAATTGGCTTTTTCTCAGAAACAAAATTAGCTACACTGATACACTTGCATCTGCTTGTGTCAGTCTATAAATTTAGACTAATGAAAGTATGGGCTCTGTTATTTAAAAACAGATGTTTGCATATTTATAGGCTTTAGAAGAAAAAAGTAAGTAAGTCTACTAGGTTGAGTTCATTTACAAATAGGTAGGTGGTGTGAAATAGTGTCATTTATCTCTGTACTTAACGATAATAACTTAAATTTCATCTTTAAAATATATATTCAATTTTTATTATTTGGGAATCCTTGATTTAATAAAATACAGTTCAAAAGGGAAATGAATTATTAATTGTTGAACAATTACTGTCCATAAAGCATTTTGTTGCACGCTTCACCTATTTTATTGTGTTGACTTTTTAAAAAAAGAATTATTTATTTAATCTCATTTATTATTGCTATTATTGTTATTATTATCCAATTTGACTGAAGAGAGACAGAGACAGAGAAAAAGAGAAAGCTACCAGGTCTGGGACCAGAACCATAGTCAGCCATGTGGGAGTCCAGCATTCCAATCACCATGCCACCTGGTGGCCCCTTGTGTTGACTTTATTTTTTTTTTTTTTGGAGAGATTTTCGCTATAGGGTGCGTGCGCTCACCAGACAGACAGAGACATAGAGACAGAAAGCGAGAAATCACCCCCCAGGGGGGATGGTCACGCTGCAATCCCTTCTCCTCCATTCTCCTCTCGGGATCTTGGGCACGCACGCACACGCGCCCGGCGTGAGATTTAAGCCACCGGGTCCGAGACGCGAACCGCGGTCGACTATGTGGGAGTCCAGCGACATAGCCATTACGCTAACTGCTGGTTCCCCCTTGTGTTGACTTTTAATAGTTTTTACGATTCTCATTTTACAAACCATGGAGTTAAAAATTGGAAAGGTTATGTCATGATTTATTTATCTGTTTGCCTCTACTAAACTATAGGTTTTTTTAAATTAGAGACCAAATATCCATATCAAAATGCACATTGTCTGGCACTTATTTAAAACTGAGTAAATTTGTGTTTGTTGAGAATTACACAGTCATAAGGGGCAGAACTGGAGCTCAATTCAGAACTTACCTGAATTCCAAACTAGTGCTTTTCCCACCATTCCAAATAGTTACATCAGTTTCATGGCATCTTTCTATCTTCCTGCTATTATACTTGCTACATATTATCTTAGTATTATTTTTATACCTATACCATGTATCTAATATGTAGCAAAAATGTATATTATACATTGTATCTATACTATGTATCTTATAAGTTAGCAAGTATTGTAGGTTAGAAAATACAGTTGCATATTTATTAATTTAGTCATTTTTCTCTTTTAGATATTTTTCAACAAATATTTATTTGGTGTCTACTCTGTGCAAGGTCCTGTGTTTAGGTGTGGGAATATAGTAGTAAATAAGACAGACATTATATTCATGGAAATCACTTTTTTTTTTTGGAGAGATTTTTGCTATAGGGGGCGTGTACTCACCAGAAAGACAGAGAGGCAGAGAGACAGAAAGTGAGAAATCACCCCCCATGGGGGATGACCACACCGCAGTCCCTTCTCTTCCATTCTCCTCTCGGGATCTTGGGGCATGCGCGCACACACACCCAGCGTGAGTTTAAGCCACCCGGTTCGGGACTTGAACCATGCTTGACTACATGGGAGTCCAGCGACATAGCCATTATACCAACTGCTGGTCTCAGAAATCACTTCTTTTATTTTCCCAGGTACCTTAAGCTTACTAATTGTATTAATATTATTATGTTAAATGTGAGGGATCTGAGGTTCGTAGGTGGTGTGGAAAGGCAGCTGGATCTCATGTAGCCAGCTCCACAGTTCCAGTCCTGGACTCAGCAGTATGAAAATTATGCCAGGTCCGTGTGTGCATGCCCCAGATCCCAGGAGGAGAAGGGATTGCAGCATGGCTATCCACCTCGGGGGTGATTTTTAACTTCCCCCCTTCTGTCTCGCTCCAGCGAGCACTTGCTCCCTATAGTGGAAGAAAAAAAAAAAGTGAGGGCATTAAAGTTCAACTGCTCAAGTACTGATTTTTTTTTTTGGAGAGGTTTTTGTCATAGGGCGTGTGCGTTCACCAGAGAGAGAGAGACAGACAGAAAGTGAGAAATCACCCCCCAGGGAGGATGGCCACGCCGCAATCCCTTCTCCTCCATTCTCCTCTTGGGATCTTGGGCACACACACACACACACACGCGCGCCCGGCATGAGTTTAAGCCACCGGGTCTGGGACTCGAACCACAGTCAGCTTCATGGGAGTCCAGCAACATAGCCATTATGCTAACTGCTGGTCCCGAGTTGGTCTATTTTTTAAACTTTTTTTTTAAATGTAGGTTCTGCCTATCAATATCATATTAGAATTAAAACTGAAAAATATTCATTTAAAGATAATAACTTCTTTATGTTAGTTGAAATATGCATCTTTTATGAAAAAAATACCATATTTTCTAAAACAAACAAAAATTGTGGGACCAGCAGGTGGCATGGAGGTTAAGGCAGCTGGATCCCACATAGCTTGTTCCGTGGAGTCCCAGTCTTGGCAGCTTAAAATCATGCCGGGCACGTGTGTATGCCTGCCCCAAATCCTGAGAGGAGAAATGGAGAAGAGATTGTGGTGTGGCAGTTCCCTTGGAGGGTTATTTCTCACTTTCCTTCTCTCTCTGTCTCTCCCCAATAATGTCTTACACCCCATAGCAAAACAAACAAATAAATAAATAACCAGAGATTTGTAAGGAGGGTGGCACTATTTTACATGTTTGTGGATATCTCTGATGTCTAGGTTAATCAGAGACAGGTTCTCACATCTTCGTTCAGGTTGTTGCAATATTTTGTGTTACCCGAAATGTAAGAAGAAAATCTGATCTTACCCAAATAAGAGATTATAAAGGAGAGGAGTATTTTAATAGTCCTACAGATAATTATGATATTCTTTTTTGACATTAAACCAAAGCTTCATGTGTTAGCTGCAGCATGAAAATAGAAAACAACAAACTTTTGTACCTACCTTCATTACGTTATAATCAACAGGTCTGTCCTGAGGGCTTTTTTTTTTTTTTTTTTTTTTTTTTTGGTCAGAGGATGCATGTGTTTGCTGAAAAGGAAAGAGACAGAGGGAGAAAGAACACCCTGGTGGGGTGTGTGGTCATGCCGCAGTCTCTTCTCCACTTCGCTGTCCGGGGCTTCAACAGCACAGTCAGCCACGTGGGATCTTGCTCCCTTAACCACCAGGCCATGGGACTGGCCCTCCAGTGGGTCTTTGTGCATTTATGATTCTGTAACACTGTGCATCGGACATTTAGAAAATATTGGGTATGCCTGTTGTCCATATGGTGACACGTTTTATTATATACCATCAAAAATTATTTTAATTATTATTTTTTATTACCAGAGGGCAAGTGCACTTACCAGAAAGAGACATAGAGACAGAGAGGGAAGGAAGAACCCCCTCTCCCAAGTGGGGTATTGTTATTCTGCCTTTTTTTTTTTTGGAGAGGTTTTTGCTATAGGGCGCGTGCGCTCGCCAGACAGAGAGAGACATTAGAGACAGAAAGCGAGAAATCCCCCCCCAGGGGGGATGGTCACGCCGCAATCCCTTCTCCTCCATTCTCCTCTCGGGATCTTGGGCACGCACGTACACGCACCCGGCTTGAGTTTTAAGCCACCGGGCCCGGGACGCGAACCGCAGTCGACTGTGTGGGAGTCCAGCGACATAGCCATTATGCTAACTGCTGGTTCCCTTATTCCGCTTTTTCATCCTGCCAGGATTTTGGGCATGCACACATGCATGCCTGGCACATCAAGTCACCAGGGCCAGGACTCCAACTGTCAGCAATGTGTGACATGGGTCCCTTAACCACTGTACTGTGTGGCCAGCTAACCTCATCAGAAAGCCTTTAAATATTGAGAAGCTGTCAGACTCAGGCAGATAGAAATAATGCAAAATTTTAAAATTTTACCTGAAAGCTTGAGTTTTGTCATTGGTAACAGATAGATACTTCTAGTTGTTTTCCTTTAGTGACAGGCTCACTTTATTCATTTTTGAGAAAATATCAGCCACATACCCAAGTCAGAATGATACCCACATTACTCAAAGATGGAGTTCACATCCTCGAACAATTGACAGTTCCAGAGCAGCTTATTAACCCAGGGTCATGTAGCTCGCAAGTTGCTGAGCGAGGACCAGAGACGAGAGCTTTCTGACTTGCTTAGGTTGCGTTGTTCCATGTCTTCATCATTTGGGACTCCCTAAAGCATATTCTTACAATGGTGTATTGTGATTTTTTTTTTCCCCCTAGAGAACATGAATGGTTTAAACAAGATTTGCCCACTTACTTATTTCCTGAAGACCCCTCATACGATGCTAACGTCATTGATGATGAGGCCGTGAGGGAAGTGTGCGAAAAATTTGAATGTACGGAATCAGAAGTAATGAACAGTTTATATAGTGGCGACCCTCAAGACCAGCTTGCAGTGGCTTACCACCTTATCATTGACAATCGGAGAATAATGAACCAAGCCAGTGAGTTCTACCTCGCCTCGAGTCCTCCAACTGGTTCCTTTATGGATGACAGTGCCATGCATATTCCCCCAGGCCTGAAACCCCATCCAGAAAGGATGCCACCTCTTATAGCAGACAGTCCCAAAGCAAGATGTCCTTTGGATGCACTGAATACAACTAAGCCCAAATCCTTAGCTGTGAAAAAAGCCAAGTGGCATCTTGGGATTCGAAGTCAGAGCAAGCCATATGACATTATGGCTGAAGTGTACCGAGCCATGAAGCAGCTGGATTTTGAATGGAAGGTAGGACATTGTAATATATTCAGATCCTTCATAGAAGCCACTTCCTAGAGTAAAGCAGTTCTAAGCTGGAGAGTTGAGTATTGAAGTCAATAAAGTGGTTTTTGATTTAGATGTAAATAGTGGTCGTGATACACAACAAATAAACCTCGGTAAAGATGAAGAACTGTTGATAGGGGAACCTGTGTATTTTGAGTTGTAGAATAGCGTTCTTGGCTAAGAAACAAAAAGTAGTCAATCTGAAAGTCATCTGCAAAAATGCCTACCTGTTTTAGCATACATCATAGCAAAAAGTCATGCATCTTCAAAGGTGGTATGCTTTTACTTTCTTATTCATTTTTTAAAATATTTTTTATTGGTTATAGGTTGTGTGCCCTTACCAGAGATAGGCAGTGAGAGAGCACACCTAGGGGAATGGCCATGTTGCAACCCTTTTTGTCTATGATCCTCTCAGGATTTGGGGCATTCATGTACACACACACCCAGTGTGTGTGTGTGTGTGTCTTAATAATTCTTATTTTTTTTTAATTTATTCATTCATTTATTTCTTAATTTGACCAGAGAGAAACAGAGGGTGAGAGTGAGAGAGAAAGGAAGTGAGAAAGCAAGCCACCAGATTCAGGACTCGAATCATGGTCGGCCATGTGGGAGTGTCCAGTGCCTTAACCACCATGCCACCTGCTGGTCCCCCCCAGTGTGTTTTTCAAGCTGCCAACTCTGGGACTTGAACCATGCGGTCTGCCATGTGGGATCCAGCTGCCTTAACCACCCTGCTACTAGCTAGCCCACTTTTTTTTTTTTTTAGAGGTTTTTGCTATAGGGCACGTGTGCTCACCAGACAGACAGAGAGAGACAGAGAGACAGAAAGTGAGAAATCACCCCCCCACACACACACAGGGGATGGCCACACCGCAATCCCTTCTCCATTCTCCTCTCGGGATCTTGGGCACATACATACATGTGCCCGGCATGAGTTTAAGCGACCAGAACCAGGACTCAAACCGCGGTTGACTACATGGGAGTCCAATGACATAGCCATTACGCTAACTCCTGGTCCCACTTCTCCTTTTTTTAAGGAGGGTCTCCCCCCTTTCATTTTTTTGAGGGATATGTTTTTGTTTTGAGTTTGCTACAAGGTTTGTCTACTTACTGGAGAGAGACAAAGAAAGAGAGGGAAAGTAAGAAATCACCCCGCAGGGGGATGGCCATACTCCAGTCCCTTCTACCCCACTCTCCTCTTGGGATTTTGGGGATGCACATGCACCTGGGTGTGTTTTTCAAGTTGCCAGGTGCAGTACTCAACCATGTAGCTGGCCATATGCGATACAGCACCTTAACTTCTGAACCACCTACTGGTCCTCAGTTTGTGATTTTAATCCTGAATTATGGCATATTTTTGTTACTCTCTGCCCACATTTTACTTTTAAGTTATTGTTCGATTCATTTAAATTATTGGTTCATTGGAAAAGTCATGATGCATTTTTGCATAGAAAGACCTAGAAAAAAATATGTCATGACTTTTCCAGCAACCCAATATATTTGAATGTATGTGGGGAGAAAAGCATTTTTTTTTTCTTTCAGATAACCCTTTTACTCCTGACCCTTTTTGAGGACTGCAAATTTTTTTTTAAAGGAAGAAGAAAATGTTCGAACTTATATAAATGTTCATTTGACATGCTAGGATAAATCTATTCTTTTCATTTCATTATTTACCCACAAAATGGATAACTATTTCCTTAAAATTATTTTTTAAAAATCCAGAGCTCCTTTTTCTCTGAAGTGGTTTTTGAAGTTCAGTAAAACAGAGATTTAACATTTTCATAATTCCTTCCTGAAAAAATTTTGAAAGTAATTTGGTAGATGTTTTGAAAACCCAGAGTCTTCTTTATCTTAGCTGTAATTTTTTTTTAATTGCAAAAACGAATTTTTATTTTGAATCTTTAGTTTAATTTAAACATTGCTTTTAGTATGAGGCCGACACCAGTGTGCAGAAGGGCTCTGGAGAGACGCTCATAGCAGCTCACACCCGTGGCTCTCCTTGGGTGCTGGAGGCTCCAGGGCAGCCAGTGTTGCTTCATGAGACACATCCTTGAGGCCTTTCTGTGTGAGTGCAGAACACTCCACAGACTTGGCAGCCTTCCGGTCACAGGCAGCTTTTCAGCAGTCTCTGAATGATGGCTTCTGTTCTTGGCAAGTTTCTCAAGAGTAGAAGGGTCATCTCTGAGATCAATTTGGGTCCCAACAAGCAAGAAAAGAGTCTTCGGACAGTGATGAGTTGTCTCGGGCACCCACTTTGCTTTCACATTTTCAAATGAGGATGGAGAGACCACTGAAAAGCAAACTATACATCTGTCTGTGGATAACTCAGCGGTCGTAATGTCATAATCCTCTGCCCTGAAGTATCAAAAAGCCCGAGAGTATATGGCTTCCCACCAGTCATAACTATGACTACATAGTTATCCAAAATAGTTGGTACATATCCAGATGGAAGCTAGTTTGTTATGCAGGACATCAGGAGACATGTTTTACCAACACCACCATCGCCCACAACACACTTAATTGTCTGCATTGCTGTAATAGTTGTGCATCCACTTTAAATTTCGATGCTGACCTCAGCTTCTCCCCCGGGGCATTGGCAGCACTGCATGGGGTCTTCTCGGCTGCTAGACCAGCAGTAGTTTTCTTATCTTTAAATGGCAAATTATGTCTTTTTCACAGGATTATCATGATACTTAAATTTGGCGATGGTGCCCAGTGCAAGCAATTAACATGTTTGTTCCCCCTTTTACCTTCTACTGCATATTTCTTGATGGGAGTATTCAAGCAGAGGCCAAGCAATCAAAATTATTATTGTGTTTTAAAGTGGATTCAATTTGTGGTAGTGGGGGGCTGCATTCGCGCTCTCCCCTGGGGGAAAAAAAAAAGTGGATTCATATGTGGCGTGAAAGCCAGATTCTATATAATCTCTATATAATCCCTTTACATCTTAATTGCTATACACAAACAGTACTTTCAGTGAGGATTAAATAAATACTAAACACTCGTAATATAAAAAAGAATTATTCTAACATTTCTTTTTTACCCTATTCCCATCAAAGATATTTTTGACATTTTTTGTAATAGTAGGTGGGCATTTCACAGTTGTTATGTTTATTAATTTCCTGTTTTAGGTAGTGAATGCATACCATCTTCGTGTGCGAAGAAAAAATCCAGTAACTGGCAATTATGTGAAAATGAGCTTGCAACTTTACCTGGTTGACAATAGGAGCTATCTTTTGGACTTTAAAAGCATTGACGGTAAGAAAGCTGTGTATGCACTCTGAGAAGATAAATTTTAGCACTAGTCAACCCGACGTTAAAATCGTGTTAGAGGAATGGTGGGTAGGTTTTGGACACTGGTTTTTAAGTAGTCTAGACTTAACCAGAATCGAAGTCAAAGGAAAAGGATCAAAGATACATGGACTCTCTCTTACCCAGCACCTTTTCAAGAGAAGTGCATCCTTGACTTAAAAAGGTAATTTCAAGTTTTGGCCATGGAACAAAAGTAAAGAATAATGGGGAATCAGTTTTTTACTGAAATGAGCCAATTCAACAAATTCTTTTGCCACATTTCTCCAGTTACGTTTTATTACTGTTAGCAGTGTAAAGTTTTAATTTCTCCCTTCATCACTTCCTTTGTCCTATGTGAACAAGATGTCCAAATAAACTTCCGCTGGGATCGGGTCAGATTTCAGTATCCATGCCCACAGCAGTGCAGGGGCGAGAAGGATCAGGGAAGCAATCCTGTCCAGTACTTAGTGTGTGCTGAGAGGTGACCCTGGGCAAACCGAATAGGATTGTTCATTTCAGAGGTTCAAGTGCAAGAAAGACTATAAACCAAGAGGCAGGTGCTGGGTGAACAAGAGCAGGACTGAGTTTGAGTTAGGGAAACTGTTTTAAAAGGAGCATTATCAACTCTAGCAGTGTTGATGTGGTCCCTAAACCACCTTCCTCAAAATTGCCTGATTTTTCTTACTAAAATGCAGACTTTTAGGAACCATATCCCACCTCCAAACCAGACAGTCTGGGAACTCTTCCTGGGAAACTGGGAACCTGCATTTTTTTAAGAGAGATATTTTTGCTATAAGTCATGTGCACTTGCCGGAGACAGAGATGGCAAGAAATCCGCCCCTTAGGGGGATAGCCATGCCACAGTCCCTACAGTCGCTTTTCCTCTGTCCTCTCAGGATTTTTTGGGCATACACGCATACATGCATGCACATGTGCCCGGCAAGAATTTTAAGCCGCTGGTCTGGGACTCAAACCACCATCGATTATGTGGATGTCTAGTGACGTAACCATTACGCCATCTACTGGGGAACCCGCGTTTTTAATAAGATATCCTTTGCATCCCCCTGCACCCCACCCCCCACAATTTCAGAGTGTACTGAAGGTTTATAACATTGTTGCTGCTAATTTTTGTTTTAGTTTCAGTGAATTTTTTTGGGTTGTTGATATGCTAGGACAAAGTAAGTTGCCAAGGCTGTTCTTTCTTCAAATGAAGGAATATCAGTTTGATTTCAGTGTTAATGCCATACACTATTGAGAAGGCTTTAGGGAGCACGTTTTGACTTTGTGGAAAGGTTGTGATGGATCAGTGATACCCGTTATGATGGTGGGAGAGAAGAAGTATTGCTGCCTCTGTTCTGAGGACACTGAAACGTGACATTCTCTGTTGAGTTGCCTAGCTCAGATGCACTCAGTTAATATTCTGAATATAGCAACATCACAGAAAGGGCTTGGGCAAATGCACCTTGCATATAAATCGTTCTTCTCTGGCCCGTTTCAGACGAGGTAGCGGAGCAGAGGTCTGGCTCTTCAACACCCCAGCGTTCCTGTTCTGCTGCTGGCTTGCACAGGCCAAGGTCCAGCTTTGATTCCGCAACTGCAGAGAGCCATTCCCTTTCCAGTTCTCTCACTGGCTCTTTGACCGGAAGCACCTGGTCTTCAGTTTCACCTCGCCTGGGCAGCCACACCATGGATTTTTTTGAAATGTGTGCCAGTCTGATCACTACGTTAGCCCGTTGATGATCTGCCTGTAGTTTCTATCTTCCTGTTCCTGCACTGTGAAAATCAGATATATTCTTTAAATTATTATCTTCCTTCTGGATGTCACCTACTCTGCAATACTAATTGAGACACATGAATATTTCCAGGGGACACTCAATGCAATTGAAATGATGGAAAATGAAAAAGGCTGACGTTTATTTACTTGTAGAAATCAGTCATTCTGCCGTGCCTACGGTAGCCTCACATAGGTAGTGTTTTTTCACAGGTGACCATTGGTGAAGATTGTTAATTTGCAATGGCGAGTTCACTGCACACACCTCAGTAGTGCACTGTCTGTCTACGGGTGGTTTAGCAGTACCTCCTTGCTTTACCGGTTAGTGTAGGTAAATCCAGTTTACTTTTAAATTTCAGCAGACTAAGCTGTGTTAGTGCCCCCAGCTTGTTTGTTTGTTTGTTTGTTTGTTTGTTTTTGCACGGATGATTAAAAAAACAGAACAGCCATTATAAGATCTTTAAAATGTCGAAATCTTAAAAGCCTGCCTCCAGAATTTCAGAAGCCCAGTTGGGCTTTCTAATACCACAGATACTGCCTAGCGCTCACCAAAAGGGCTGTGGTCCTGAAACAGGCGGCCACGATTTCTGAGTTTCTAAAAAACAGCTGGAACCAACTCAGAGTATTACTATCTTCAGATTTCCCTAACATTTATCTTAAGAGCCTTCAAGGTTCAATTTCGAATTAAAACACATGGAATTGTAACAGTTTTGGGCTTTTTCATAAACTTACATCATTTAAAAATATGCCCTCAAAAACCTCCCTTTCTCAGATTCTTTTTGGCTTTATTGTATCTCACCAGAAATGTTCAAATAGATGAAACAAAACAATAGCAGCAGTTCCTTAAACGATAACTCTTATCTTTAATGTTTTATTTTGTATATCTTGTGGGGAGGTGGGTTAAAGTTAGGATTCTATGGCCTCTGACTATGCCAACTCTTCATTTGAAGTTTTAAAGTTGTTATTCATGTCACTTCTTTCCGTAGCCTCTCCTTGTCAGTATTTCTTTATTCGGGTTTGATCCTTGGTGGCCGAGCAACTTACCGACTTAGTGTTTGAGTGTTGTCTGGTTCCCTTTCTTGGTTGTTGGTCCTTTGGTTTGCAAACACTGTCTTGGCCCTGAGGACTTTCGTCAGCTTCCAAAGCTTGCAGGCTGTGCATGCCCTTTTCCACTGAACCTGATAGGACAAGAGAGCCTTAAACATTTTTTAAAAAATTCTCTCTTGAATTAATGTATGTGTCATTTACATATACACATGTATGTATTCACACAGAGTGCTTTTAAGCAAAAGCCACACAGGTTTTTATTTTTTGCTTTGTGCAGATTTTTTGTTTGGTTTGGTTCTTTTTAAAGGTTAAATAAACCATATGTCACCAAGCACTGCATAACAGCATTTTGGTCAGTGATGGCCCACAAAGAAGATGGCAGTGTATAAGATTAACCAAATCTCGTGAGTGTGTATGTGGTAGGCTGGGCATCCAGGTTGGCAGGGGTACACTTGGTTAGGAACAGGTTACGGTGAACTCGCCAGCGGCTCCTTCCTCAGAACGTAGCCCCATAAAGTGACACATGACTACAGCTTGTAAGTTGACCTCTTATATAGCGGGGTAGCAAATAGCTCATGGATTATATTTTGTTTCAGTGAAAGTATTTAATTTTTAAATTATGTGTAACTTATGTGATTTCTATTTATTCATTTGTTGTGTTTAATATGTTGTAATTAATAATCTCATTCACCTGATTTACCCCCAAAAATATTAAGCTCTTGAAAACAAAAAAAATGATACTGTCTTGACAGGTTCCTCTTTGCCAAAAATAATGTATTTTCTGCCAAGAAGCAAGTGGGAATGTTAGACCAAGTTTTCCTGTATTTATAAAACACAAGCACGTTTATCTTTAAATAGGGCGAGAGTCAGGAGTTTGCATTGTATCACTTATTGTTTGGTAGATCTTTTAAAAATGATGTTAAATAACTTGGACTTCTTAATCACAAAATAAAAGGAATCCTTTTTCAGCAGTTGTGAAAAGAGGTGGGATTGTAGTTTGAGAAAGCGTAAGGTTTAACCTTTGAAAGATTGCCATCTTGTGGCAACAAAGGGTAATTTTTTTAGTGATCATTTTTATGAGGGTAAGCAGTTCTGCCTGTTAGTCTGATGTACATTATAGATACGGCATAATTCTCACACCTCCAAATGCGTACGTGCCTGTTTTGGGAAACACAAGGCCACCTCATAATATTTGCCAGATGATGAGTAGACAGCCTTAGAAATACAGAATTCATTGGATTCTTCATCCCCAGGAACACGTCCACAACCATTCTGAAGGCAGAGAAGCAAGCAAAGAGATCAGTAGTGTTGCATTTTCACTTGTCTGATAAATGAGATATTGAGAGCTTGTTCATATTAAGATTATTTTATGTGGATGGTTACCATGTTTTTTTCAGAGTTAAAAATTCCTTCGTTATTTTCTCATTCTTGCTAGTACTTAAGAAAGTCTGGAGTTTGTTAGTTGTCTATGAAAGTTTAGAAGAATCAAGCATTATGGTTTTGTTCTTTTATGCATAACGTTTTAAAACATAGCTGTTCTATGATTCTAGGTGGTATAGTAAATCAGTCTGTAGAGAGGTGATTTCAAGAGATTCATCCAGCAGAATCAGGGTTAGAACCTTATCATCACAGGCCTTTTGTTGCTCATGGACACAGAGAGGAAAAGAATTGGTTTCTAATCCCCAAGTCCCACATCGTAGTTTTGATATCTGATTAATGTGGATGTGGTAGACAGGTCTGGGCTAAGACCGGTTTCCTCCAGTTACAATAGAAAGCTTCTGTTATAAAACAAGGTTCTTAGCTGTGTCCTAGAATTGGACTCCATGTGATTCTAGAACAGCATTTCCCCAGGTGTGTCCCGTGAGATGCTCTGCAGAAAAAATATTCCATGAAGTGAGTTTGGAAAATGTCCCATGCTACTCTTCTCCTTGAGAGCAACAAAGGATAGGAGGATTAAAGACTTTGACAAGCTCCTCCATGAAAAAATGTCATTAAAGTAAATCCTACTTTGTCCACATTAATTTCCCATTAAAAAGAAAATATTCCACAAGAAAAAGCAAATTTGGAAAACAGGAAAATTACCATCCCAGGTTGCCATAATCCGGGTAGTTCAGAATGACATTAAGAGAGCACTTTGTTTCTTAGAAATTGTTGGGAAAAATCTAGCTCAAAACCAGAATCATTTCAACTGCAGACCTATTCGTCTCTAGTAAATGCTGGACTAAACAGAATTTTTTGTGTATGCAGCTTGTTTCATAGTGCCTTGGTTTTCTTATCAGGTTGTGGTATTGTTTGTGTGCAACATTTATTTGTATTTGTAATGATGGATCATTGAAAAACCTTGAACAAGATTTTTGTTAAAAAAAAAAAAAGGCTAAGAAACTACTGACTCATGTTTCTGACTGTTTATGGGTAATGAGCCAATATAATTGATTCTTACTTTTAAAATGTATAACCAGAGGTGATTTAAAAAATACTTTTGTACAGGACGCTGTGTTTCTATCTAGTTCCTGTTGTACCTCAATGTAGTAACAGACACTCTCTCTGACTGAATATGCAGCGAGGGAGGTAGGCCAACCATTTATAAGTTGGGTTTTTGTTTCGATCAACAAACCTTTGAAGAGTCATTTTTATAACCTTGAATGCTTGCATTCCTTTATACGAACCACCATCTATAAAGAGAATCTAGGAACCTAAGTTAACTAGAAATAATTATGTCAGGGAACAGGCTCTGACATTATATTTATAGAGAGAAAAGCACAAAGAAATTCTCCACTTTCTCTAAGTGAGTATTACAGGACAAGTGCATAATTCTGGGTTTACTTTTCTCTTATTCCTTAGCCAGTTTGTACTCATGGAATACAAAATTTTCTTTAGTATTAAATGAGACATAGTTTAGAAAAGAATCATACAAACTATTGTGTTTTTTATTGTTCTGATTTTTCTATATCATCTATTACTACATAGTATATGAACTCATGGGGGCACTGTACCATCCATATGTAAATGTAAAAGCCTTGGAACAGCAGTTGGCATAATGGCTATGTTGCTGGACTCCCATGTAGTCAACCGCAGTTCGAGTCCCGGACCCGGTGGCTTAAACTCGCCCTGGGTGCATGTGCATGTGTGCCCAAGATCCCGAGAGGAGAATGGAGGAGAAAGGATTGAGGTGTGGCCATCCCTCGTAGGGGGTGATTTCTCGCTTTCTGTCTCTCTGTCTGTCTCTGTCTTTCTGGCAAGCGCATGTGCTCTATAGCAAAAATCTCTCCCCCTTGCCACTCCCCAAAAAAGATAAAGCCTGGGAAATGCCTACCACAGACAGCACTGTTCTTCTATTCACTGGTTAATAATTTAAAGTTACTGGCTATGAAATCTCAATATCTATTTGTAGATGTGTTCACAGTTAATGTATTTTTGATTGCTTTTTAAAGACTTAAAACTTTTTCAGTCTGGCATTTCTTTACTTGGTCCTCCTATCACCCTGTGGCTTTTAGAATGGGGACTGTAATTTACCTGAGTGGTCCTTAGCGACTCCGTGAAAAACTCCGGATGAGGGATATGTGCAATCTCTTGGGAAACTCACATCCTGTATTGGGCTTCACTTGTGTAACCTCTAAATTGGGAGGGATAGATGAAAAGGTGTCTGAAGTACCTTTGGGCTTTAAAGTTTTGCTGGACTCCCATGTAGTCAACCGCAGTTCGAGTCCCGGACCCGGTGGCTTAAACTCGCCCTGGGTGCATGTGCATGTGTGCCCAAGATCCCGAGAGGAGAATGGAGGAGAAAGGATTGAGGTGTGGCCATCCCTCGTAGGGGGTGATTTCTCGCTTTCTGTCTCTCTGTCTGTCTCTGTCTTTCTGGCAAGCGCATGTGCTCTATAGCAAAAATCTCTCCCCCTTGCCACTCCCCAAAAAAGATAAAGCCTGGGAAATGCCTACCACAGACAGCACTGTTCTTCTATTCACTGGTTAATAATTTAAAGTTACTGGCTATGAAATCTCAATATCTATTTGTAGATGTGTTCACAGTTAATGTATTTTTGATTGCTTTTTAAAGACTTAAAACTTTTTCAGTCTGGCATTTCTTTACTTGGTCCTCCTATCACCCTGTGGCTTTTAGAATGGGGACTGTAATTTACCTGAGTGGTCCTTAGCGACTCCGTGAAAAACTCCGGATGAGGGATATGTGCAATCTCTTGGGAAACTCACATCCTGTATTGGGCTTCACTTGTGTAACCTCTAAATTGGGAGGGATAGATGAAAAGGTGTCTGAAGTACCTTTGGGCTTTAAAGTTCTGTTTTTCTTCTGCCTTTTCATATATTTTGTGTTATTGTTCACTTTTTTATATATTAGAGTTTTTATACTAATATGAATGTTCTATTTTGGTTCAACAAGGCATTTTGAAAGTATATACTTGAATTTTTCTAAACACAGCCACCCTCTGATACACATGAAGAAAATAATCCAGAAAACCAAACAGATGAAAATATATCCCCATGGATATGATAAAGCAAACATGACCATTCGGAACAGTAGAAGTGTCCCATACAGTGCTGTAGGGATCTTTAGACTCAGAGATCCTCTGTCTCTGTTAACTCACCATTAGAGTTACCTTGAGAGAAGCCAGGAAAAGTATTTTTTTTAAACCATTTTCCAGATGAGGAAGCAGGACTAGAACGTTCTTCATGAAGCTTCAGTGCCGTACAAGTATTTGGCAGTGATCAATGGCTCTTCCCAGCACACCACTTTTCCTCTGGGGAAGAACAGTCTGGGATGAAACATCTGAGTAGTTGAGTAGTAAAAATAAACACAGATGTATTGCTTTCATGTCTTAGAGTGAAATAAAGTAGTCTTAACTAAATGTTTTATAGTTTATTTGAACCAGTGGATTGTACTATCTAGATATAATGATCTGAAGTATTTATGAGTAGCATGTTGATTTTTGCAAGTACTTCTGAGTAATTGAGGGTGCTTAAAATTTCTGGAGAAACATTAGGATAGGGTTCTCCCTGTAATTTTATTTATGTGACTCTTAAAGCACAATCTTTTTTTAAAAAGGAAAACTAGCCCCAGTTGCTATTTAAATGGTCATAAAATTTGACTATTATATTTGAATTAGGCTTATCTGAATTTCATATACAGGTTGATAGTTTTTCATCTTGTATGGATATTAGATGATATAACACTATTTTCGTAGAGTATATTTCTATTCACAAACCCCCTAATTATTATTGGTTCAATAGAGAGTCCCCCAACTTTATAAAACTTGAAATGTACCTTATGTTTGGTAAGCTTAAAAAATTATAGAGATTTTATGTAAACAAATTGCTAGCATCCTTACTAGTCTTTCCCATGTCTTATGATGATGACTTAATGCCACTGAACAGTAATAGCATGAAGAAAAGGACCCCACAGTCTAGACTGGATTGAATTTTAATTAAACTTTTCCAGCCATAACCTGATAAGAATCAGGCCCGGTCTAGAAGTGATCATGGTGGGCCTATATTAATTTCACGAGCCAGTGTTAATGTTTATTGTCAGCCTTGCTTAGCAATGCCAGTTTGCAGCTGTGACTCTGTGAGCTGCTGTAACTATAGTTTCTATCTAAAGCAGTTTAGATTTTATGGAAGTAGCTCGTGATTATTTGGACAAGCAGGGTAAATAAATTTCAACTATGGTTAAAGTGCAATTAAGGAAATACTAGAGTGAGCCCTCTTTCCAAGAAAAAGAGTGAAGTATTTATAGGACATCCTAGCATACAAACTTTTTGAACATACATAGAATTTTGACAAGTTTCATACAGTACGGGTTTTTAAATTCAAGGTTTGCTACTTCGTGTTGATTTAAAATTTCAAGGAAGAATAATTATTCTAGCCAAGCATCATTGCATAGTTATTTTTTGTTTCCAATTGAATATGCATTCTTCATAGTTAAAAGTCCCTTTTATGTAAGTTTTGTTACAAGACAAAGGCTGTTTTTCTAGACAGATAACATTTTCTAAAGTAGAAAAGAGAAATAAATTCACTGTTTTAAAAGAGATGGGCAAAACGTAAGACCCCCACTAAATTGTGCCTTCTTTCTTAAATCATTAGCCTAGTAATAGTACAAACTTATTTTAACTATTTTTTTTCTATTCTCTATCATTTTTTTCTTAGATCTTCCTTCCACAGATGATCATGTTGTTTCTTCTGTCTTTCAGGTATTTTTGGCCAAACCTCATGCTATCACTTTCAGATGTTGTTCACTAAACGTATTTATTCCTTTTATGTTGTTTCACTTTTTAAGTCACTTCAGTAAACACCTGACTGCCTTCTCATGCTTTCAAAGAGAATGCAATGAATAGCAATCTTTATATTTTAACTTCATAAAAAGTTTGCGAAGGAGAGAAATAATGCAGTGCTAAGGACAGGGTCTAATTTGGAATCTGATTCTTCATTTGGCTGCTATGGCACCGGCAAGTCACATGACCTCATTCGTTTTCTCATCTACAAAATGTGGAGAATAACCTACCTCACAAATGTGCATGAGAAACTGAAGGCCCTTGTTTAAATATAGGGTTTATATTCCCATAGTTAACGTAAATCCCTTTACCCCCATTTTTTTTTTTTAAATAAATATCTTTGATACTGATAGGATGATATTTTGATTTTTAGGTAAGTTTTATGTAGCAAGAACATAGTGGCAAGAATGTTTAAGACCACGGTTTCACAAATTATGGTGTTATTTTAAGTAAGATTTTAAATTTCTTGAAAACATCAAATATTCAAATATCAGACTTGTCTTTTGTTACAGCAAATGTTCTTATTTAGAACTTCTTAAAACATTGGCTGAAACTGCCTTAATGTACCAAAATACAGTTTGGTTTCAAGACCGTTCACAAGCATCTTTCGTTGTACGTTTTGAATGTTTAATGTAAAGTTGTTACAGAGCTGTGAATTCTAAGCATAGTATCTTGATATTGTTTTAGAAAGAATGGTTGTGCTTTTTTATCATGTATGTTCAAATATTATACAATGTATTTTGAGTGCAACAAATAAAACAAAGTTGACAGCAATTAGATTATGTCTGTGACAATCAGCAGATGATGTAGGATTGGATATTAATTATTCATTATTTTCAAGTACATTGTTTTTTATTCCTTTGTTCATCTTTGAAAAAGAAAATCCTATTGGCTTATGTGATTAACCCATTGGAGCACTTGATTACGTATTCAATTTTTTTTTAATCTGTGGAAATTGGGACCACATTTTATAATTGGTTTCAGAAACAAAAAACTCCACCACAGTAGACTTCCAATGCTTTTTAATAACCATAGGTTATAATTACAGTTTTGTTCGTTATGGACTTTTTGTGAGTGTTTAATGATCAGTAGGAAGGATTTGTCTTC